CCAGGGAATTTTTTCAGTCATTCACATACTACTTACTGTGAAATATGTGTAAGTATCACCGGCTTGCGAACAAAGCGGGTTTCAACAACGGAACACAGTACATTAACAGTTCCATTATACATATTTTATTCTACTCAAGTAGGATAATGCCGTCGAATCAGAAGAGGATCAATATACGATTATTCGAAGTTCATTTTCGTCTCGTAACTTAACCAAAGATATCCATGTCATTCACAAATCAACAGGTAAATAATGAATGTAAATCATTATGCTAAGGACAAAACACTAATTAGCATATTCTGCACAAAACACTGAGAAACAAGTGTAGAATAAGTACTATATAATCAATTTCGATATTTGTGATTTGGATAAGAAAAAGAATATTTGGAAAGAAAATTTACGTGAGACCATTCAACAGATAGGCATGGGTAAACTTACATTTCCAGAGCAGCACAGACTTCTGGGACAGAGTACAGCATCTGTACAGCCGCATTCGCGTAGCACGTGTTACCTAAGTTGACCAAACCGTGAGGTAGTTCAATTTTATCCTCCACTTGAGGCTTCTCCTCCACAACAGTATCCGCAATCTGCATCTGAGGTAAATTTTCTGCCGTTCCGATCAGCATAACTGTTGCACCCTGCAAAAATTATGCAGATAAATAGCACGTACATTTTTAAGCTTGATTCCATCATAATTCGCATCACCCAGAATCTTTCCTGGCATCATCACTTTCTGGCGCTCGGGGGGCACGCCGGTCAGCGAAAACAGCACTGCTTTGAACTGCTCTGGGCTTTCATCTGTGTTACACTCTATGTCCTGATAACGCTCCTTTTGCCATTTTACATTGACTAGAGTGGTAAAGATAATATGAGAAATAAATCACAACCCACTTTTGTAGACCGGCATGATGGGAGTTGTGGGAAGTTGCCGTCGGGGTAGGTTGAAGGACTTGTGGCTTTTACCTACGAGAGCCCAGTTGATTGCACTATCGGACGCTTATGATCCCGTGATGTTCGGTAACTTTTTGGTCTTTTTGAAAGTTAATCCTCTCAGGACAAGTTGTAGACAGTAACAATCCTGTGCCCGAATATTTTTGTTGTCAGTTTTCAACACGGAAGTTTTTTCTGAAAATTAAAATTTGGATAACGGAGAGCATTATCTTACGAAGTTCCACTCGGGTGATGCGAACATGGTTTATTATATAAGTGAATATAGTAAAAAGGAGTAACCCTCATGAGACAAGAATATACTGTACGGGGGAGACTGAAGGGAACACTCAAGTTAGAACCAGCTCCATCAGGCACCCAACTCCTACTTGTGGCTTCAAGATGATGCATAAATAATCAAGAATGCATAGAATAGCATTCTTGATAAGAGACCAGTCTCACTCTAACGGGAGAAGTACTAGAGGTAGGGAACAAATTTTGCTGTTTGAGCAGCTAGATCGGCGAACGCGTCACAGATGAAGTGTCGACACGCGTACAGAAGGTTCGATTGGCAATTGTCAACTTGAAACATTTGTGGCGCCGTTGTGAAATCCGGTTGTCTGAGAAAAGTCGAGTGTATGCTCCAATAGTTAGACTAGTTCTGCTATACGGTACAGAAATTTGGTCATTACGGGAACAGGATACAAATAGATCAACGATCACCGCCTTACATGGAAACCGCCAATCTCCTCACTGCGCTGGACCCAGATCGATCACATTGCCACCAGTTACCGCTGTAGAGGGTCGACTCAAGACTGCCGCTCTTACTGGTCAACTCCTATGGACACAGATCGCGCCTCGTTACGAGCCAAATTCTCCTTACGCCTGGCAAACAACCGTAAAAAAGCCACCGTCAAAGGACACCCACGATACAGGTTCAGTGATTGCTGCAAATCAGTCTTCGAAGCGAAACTCTCTGATCGCCTATCAGCTTAATCATCACCCGAAGGACTCAATCAACAGTGGAAGCAAATCAAGGAACCTATGCAAATATCGATAAAAACAACGTCGGACTCTGGCGCAGGCTCAGAACGCAAACAATGGATCTCGTCAACCTCGGCTGCCTTGTTGGACGCCCGCAAAACCATCCCTCCCGATGCCGCATGAAACCGCGCAAATCACTCAAACAATAGCTCATCAATAGTCTGAGGAATGACCGCGAGAAGTGGTGTGAAGGAAAGTATAAAGAGATGGAGAACGCTTCGGCTATTAGTAATAGTCGCAATCTTTTCCGACTAACTAGGAATACCGACTCTAGGAAAGTAGGCACAAGTGAGGTAATTAAGGAATCCGATAGCACACTGATTCAGGATCAGCAACGCCGTCTTAACCGTTGGGCTGAACATTTCAAGGCCCAGTTCAACTTACCCCCATCGACATCTGAACTATCACCCCCCCCCCAACCCCACCTCGACTGGGCAAGTACTCCCAGCTAATGCCAGTCCTCTCGTCTGAAATGGAGGTTTCCCAGGAAAAAGCCATCTCAGAAGACATAAGGAGTCTCAGCCATAGTTTCGGAGTTAACAAAACTCCTGGGCTCCCCGTGAGAGCGAACAGATTCCAACTGAATGGTGTGAATCGGGCATCATACCGATTTACAAGAAGGGCGATAGATCCTCTTGTGAAAACCACAGAGGAATTAGTTTAATCAACATCTCCAAACTTCTCGTTGTCATCATACTCTCTCTCTCCATTGATTGTCTGCCGCACATGTACGGTGCACGCGTAAGAACCAGGCTGGCTTTAGACATGATCGAGGTTGCATCGACCACATCTTTACTCTTCGCCAAATTCTGGAGCATCGACATTCTTTTCTTAGTCTCATCATTTCTGTCCTCCCGGATCTGAACGCTGTTTTCGACTCAGTCGACCGCTCTAAACTCTGAAGCTGTCTTTCTCCGAAAGCTGTGCCTGCGAAGTTAATTTCAATATTACAATCCCTTTATATTAATAGCTGAAGTCGAGTCCGGGTTTACGGCACCTTTTCGCCCGAGTTCACTACGGGAAGTGGCGTTCGTTGGGGTTGCCCGCTCTCTCCTTTCCTATTTTACTTTGTTTTATATCTGATTATGGAAACAGCTCTATCCGCGTGCGAGGATAGTAGCATCGATTTCCTCATAGGTGGTAGACTGTCTGATCCGAAGTATGCAGACAACATCGTGCTACTAAGTGAAGATCCAGGTAAGTTGAGAGCTTTTCTGGAAAGCTTGAATGCCAGCGTAGTCATGCTCGTTGTGCGTTTTACACCTTCAAAGTGTAAAATGTTAGTTCAAGACTGGTTTGGTTCTACACCCAGCCTCACCCTAACTGGGGAACTAATAGAGCAAGTAGACAAATTTTGCTATCTGGGCAGCTATATCTCACCCGGTGGACGTATCACGGATGAGTTGTCAGCTCGCATTGGCATTTGCCAACTTCAGACATCTGTAGCGCCGTCGCGACATCCAATTATCTGTTAAGGGCCGAGTGCATGCTGCTGCAGTTCGGCCAGTTCTGCTATATGGAGCAGAAACTTGGCCATTAGGAAAACAGGATGAACATAGACTGTCGGTGTTTGAACATCGCTGTCTACATAGCATTGCACGAACCTGGTGGGGCATCCGGACTAGCAATGCTGAGGAGCAGAGTTTTAAGCAACTGTGGCCGCCCACTGGAACAAGTGATCGAGTCCCATAGATTACGTTGGTTGGGACATGTGTTACGGATGTCACCAGATAGGTTGCCACGGCGAGTGATGTTCGCCGGGACAGGTAGTGGGTGGAAGAAAGTCAAGTGTGGTCAAGCTAAGACCTGGCACGAGGGTATGAAAACCCGGACCATGGGTCTAGGTCACATGGGTCCTGAAAGGCTCCCTGAATGGGGACATCGGGATGAACGTACCCGATGGTTAGAGACACTGAGCGATATGGCTGTGTTGTAAACAGTGGCTTTCGTGCATCTTGTCCATTTCTCTGCAACATTAGTTCACTTAAATTCCAAATTTTCTTTGATCCTACTTTCAATCTTTTCCGTCTTTCTTCTCATGTTTATCCAAATGGGCAGCCAAAAGAGCAACCGAAGCCGGCGCACTATAGTTCATGGTTAATGGTTTTACAAACTGAACTGAAATGAACAGCGTTCAAACACCGTCGTATCGTGGAGAAACCGGACAGGCAAAGCTGAGGTTAGATGTAGAGTTTTAGGCAACCGCGTTCGTCCACTGAAACAAGTGGTCGACCTCCATAGACTACTGTGATGAGCTCGAATGACTGAGCGATGAACGACAGAGAGAGAAGACAGAGAGCCAGAAACGAAGCTTCATTCCTCTACCAATGTAGGTACATCGGCTAAAACAGAAAGATGGAAAATCTACATCAGCAGTATATAGTAATACCGTGATATAAAGATCCAAAAATCACATTCTTCAGCGCAGAGTAAAGTGTCTGTGAATCAGTACGTTTTTCAAACCACCCTACTTCAAAGGTTGAATAGATGAACATGCTGCTGGATGTAGTCCATAGCGTCAGGCTGGATTTCTGATTCTGGGGTTCTATTCCCCAGGTGTGGATTGTTCTTTTGTGAAGTGCAGATGCTGATCTGCTGTGATTTCATGAGTGTTTTCCGATATAGTCGCTTTCGGAGCAGGCTGCCCCAATGATACAGTTTCCTCTTTCCTATTCGGAAGACGTACATGATTATATTGCGGGGTTACAGTTTACGAGTTCCACTTCTTTCGTCAGAGGATCATACTTTGAAGATCGATTCATTCTTTTGAGAAGAACTGGTCCCGGAGTCGACAACCATGTCGGGAGAGAGGCGCAATTGGTAGATCTCCGATTGAATGTCAAAAATCTCTCGTGAGGCGTTTCATTGATGGCAGTACACACACCACGGTGAACCGACTGAATGTAAAGCGTCAAGTAGAACACATCCGTAGTGGTTTATATCCATTTGTTGAGATTTCAGAGACAGAGTAATGGCCCTTTACAACGTTCTATATAATCTTTCGATTTGTCCGTTACCCTGTGGATTGTATGGAGTTGTCTGACTGGTTGCTACTCTCTTATAGTGGAGAAAACTCTGCAGTTCATCCGACATGAAGGCAGGGCCACGATCATAATGAACTCCAAATAAAGAAAATAATTGATTGAAATAATAACAGTTGAGGATGGCATATCAGCGCAAGCAAAAGCAAAACGAGAGTATTCGTCTATCATGGTCAAAAGGTACTTGTTGTGAGAGATGGAAGGAAGCGGGCCTTTAAACTCGATGCTGATTCTTTCGAACGGTCTGGTCGCTTCTATTATGTTGGCAGAAGTGCCTCTGAAAAATCGGTGCTTAATTCGTGCACATGCTTCACATTCATTTACAGCTGTTTCAACATCGTCTATGGAGAAGGGTAAGTTATTAGAACGAACGAAGTGCAACAAGCGTGTGATATCGGGATGACATGAAGTGTTGTGCAACTGCTTCAAGTCAGTGTGTGACATGGCTGAAATGCATCGGTTTCGGGAGAATTTGTCGGCAGTTTGGTTTTGTCCCCCACCCACCACCCCCTCACCAGGCCGATACTGGATGTCGTAGTGAAAACATGATATCTCTAACTTCCATCGTTGAATTTTATCGTTTTTTTTACTTTACCTTTGTGCTGCTTGTTGTACATAAAGGCAAA